TGCTGTAAGATGTAACTGAAGAAACCTTTAATATTTTCGCCGTGAACTTTGAATGTATAAATTATTTAGGAATTCCAAAAGAAATTTTTCGAAGTATTTTAACTTAAGCTCTTCCTATATTGAAATAAAGGATACTTTATAAGATTTGACTGAGTAACAATGTACACAAAAACTAGCCTTTTTAGCACAGAATGTTCTAAATGTATCGACATAAAGAAGAAGTAAGAACATTTACTATACAGATACAAGAAAGTAAAAGGGTTTGTTTCCAGAGTGGAACTTTAAAACCTGTTATTCTTATTGTTTCGGATTAAATTCCAATTAAAATGTTCCAACAGATGTTTGCTTTTAAACTTTACTCATTACAATAAAGATGTGATCGAGATATTTTTATCATGACGTTTAGAAATAAATTTCCCAAAACTTAAACTTCACATAAAATTCATTATTTACTGGGTATATTTAATATACAAAACGTTACTATTTTCTTTTAGATCCTATCAAAAAACTCTACCGAAAGAATGCAATTACTATAAAAACATGTCGGAATATCTAACGATAAACCGCGTCCTATTGGCGGCAAAAGAAGGAGACCTGGAGGGGCTGGAAACTCTTAGGAATAACCAAGAGCTCGTGTCTGACATTCGCGATGTGTTTGGTGCCACATGTATACATTATGCAGCACGTGGTGGGCACGTAAAGGTTTTAAAATTTTTGGTTGAAAAATGTCGAATAAAAGGTAACGCTCGTTCATTTGTTCGAGCCACTCCCGCCCACGATGCTGCAGTTATGGGTAGAATGAACTCCCTTGAGTGGCTTCTGAAGCACACCGAGTGTAATGTGTGGGACAGAGACAACGATGGCGCTACTGTCTTACAAGTAGCAGCTAGGTAAGTTAAAATTGTATTTTATCAGTTACAATAACATTTCAGGTTGTTGAATTTGGAAAGAAAAAAAAATGATCGTGGAAAGGAAAGTATAAAACCAAGTGATATATCTGAAATACCAACTACAAAGAATTTAATATTTCTAAGCAACTTACCCGGAAACAAACGCCAATTAAATATACACTATACAGCAGATGTTACGTTATAGGCTGCTTAGTCATACCCAGTCACTATTCTTCATTATGATCTGTATATGTTCTTCTACGAATCCTTGTTTGCTTGTGTTTGAATTTCTCGCAAAGCTACACTATGGCTATCTCTAATTCAGCAGTGAAAGACTAGAGGGAAGGGAGCCACCCACCGCCAACTCTTGGGCTACTCTTTTACCAACGAATAGTGGGATTGACCGTTACATAATAACACCCCCAAGGATGAAAGGGCGAGCATGTTTGGTGTGCTGGGGATTCGAACCTGCGACCCACAAATTGCGAGTCGAATGCCCTAACCACCTGGCCATGCCGGGCCCACATATGAAATGCTACATCATTAGACTTCTAGAAATAGAAATAAGCGCGTGATTAGATCATGTACAAAAATATAACATCAACTTCTTTTACTCATGACTTAATAAATTTAAATATAAGCATTGTTAATATAATAAACATAAAACCATCATATTACATAGAAAAATGAAAATAAGTGTATGGTATTCCTAGGTGTACAGAGTTACAAGAGGAAAATAGTAAGTTCTATATAAAACGAGTTTGTCAGAAAATGTATAGTAGGTTTATTCTGAATTTGATTTTACCGACTCGACAGAAAAGAAGAAAAAACAGCACTTGATTTGATAGTAATCATACATGCTCACGGACGAAAGAAGTAAACAAATTTCCAGCATGTTTAAGAAAATTTAGTTTCATATCATGTTTCTAAGACTATGAGTAAGCAAGGAATAGAAGGTAGTTCTAAGCTCACCAGGAACTGGATGTTACTCCTATCTCTGAAAGTAAGCTCTTCTGTCGACTTATTCCTCTTTCCTCTACGTGACAATTCGATCCTGTAGCAAGTGCTACCATAGTAAAGAATGATCTTTTTACCTCTGGCACCGACGTCCACAATGGTACTTACTAGTGATAAACGAATTTGGCTTGTAATTCATCGTCTTCAACTTGAAATCCACCAATATATCTAACTCTGAAGAAAGCATCATTAGAAATGTCAGACCTCAAGTACTAGCAGCTCGTTTAACGAAGCAGAAAAAGGGGTGTTATGTTAGGTGTTACGATTTGAAAAGAAAACACTGTTTTTGACAAAATACGGATAAATCCCCAGATAAAATCAATAGATACGTTAATAACCCCTTTTCACGCCAGCTCTTAACTTTGGTTTTCTATTTCACGATGGGAAGAGAATAGAAAATAAAATAAAAAGTGAAAAAAAGAAGCAAAAATGAGATATGATTAAAATTAATACTAACACCAAATCTAAAGTCAACAAAAGGTTAAACTTTGTCTTAGAGTTTGTTCCCCATATACCACTTTAGCTGTTTTTGTTTTATTTTACATTGGATATCTGTAAATATGCCTCTAAGTGACCAGTTTTATCTATATCACAATAATGGTTCATAATAGGGTTCGCCCAGGAATTTCACAAAATTTATAATAAAACATATGGGCAAAAACCATTATAAAAAAACAGACTTGTTCTTGAAGCAACACTCAAGACGTTCTATCTCATTGGCTAAGGCTGCTAAAATATTGATAATAACAACAAAGTTGGTTTTCCGACTGTTAGACAAAATTCATCCATTTGTTCTTTATATTATTATTATTATTCACATTATTCTTGTTTCACAAGCCTATAGGAAAAACGTCTATAAATATTCTATTCAAACATGAGCAAATCTACTTTTAGAAAAAACTCCTGCGCAGGTCATGGGACTATTTTTATGTTGATTCTTGAAAAAGGAGAGATTTTATCAGTTTTCAAATCATCGCTATTGGTCAAGTTTCTCTTCGAAGCCATTCAAGCACCGAAGCCTCCAACGAAAACGGCTAGGTATACTGCACCAAAATCTATGCACAGCTACTAAATAACTTTCGAAGGTTGTAGGGCTGTTTTTAAGTTAATTCTTGAAAGTCGAGATTTCTTCTTCGATTCCAACATAAGCTCTTCAAAGCCATTCAAGCGTCGCAGAAATGTAGAAGTACCAATACGCTAGCCGGAAATACTTCGTTTTATCAGAGTAAACAATGTGTATATTTATTTAAAACAGTGACTCCATTATTATTGATTATATTATTCTACTTGTTTTTATGTACGACCGTTACGCTTTCTGACCGAGAACCTGCTGCATAAGCACGCGTAGTTAGAATGTTTCCTCAAGAAAAACCGCGCATGCGCATTATTCACTCTACGAGCTGGGTTTGAA